TCTTACGAGGCGCGCTTGTCTTAGCACTGGTACAGGATATACTTATGATTATGATGCAGGAGCTCATTCACCTTCCACCTTCGTACCTCTTGGTTGTAGAACTCCAGATAGTATTATGTCTACGGGAAGTAGCGGGAATATAAGTGGTTACGGTGGAAATGCTTGGAGAATACCTGAGAAATTACAGATAGTGAAACCTATTGAAGGTTCACAAACTTTACATCATTGGAGTCAGTTAGCCACACCTACGTTAGGTAATGATCTTTTATTTTTTATCAATTTAGTTCTTTAATTTATACATGTATATATTACATTTTCTCAAATACAAATATTTTTGAAGGTAATAAAAAAAAAAGTCTGAACTTAAAAATCAAATTATAATTTTATTTTAAGGTGGTCTTCTAGAAGAACGACCAGGAGTAAAAACACGAGGAGGTCGTGGCCTGGAAGATTTAGGCCTAGTTACTTTTACTTTAAGCGACCTCGAAGAAGATGAAGAATATACTAATCCTGGAAAACTCTTTCAAGACACAGGTTCCGTTTATACATTTACCAATAGTACAGTTCTTCACCCTGATGATCATACAAGTGTCACCCCAAGTATTGTGGGTAGTAGAGTTGCAACTGCGCCTAGTAGTGCTTTGAATTCTGGTATGAGCACCCCAAGAACGTTAAGTAGAAGAAATTCGACTTCAACATTTTCAACAACTCTTGGACTTGCAAAGATGTTGAATGAAAGAGGTATTTATTGTTTAAAATTGAAAATCCACTCTCTCTCTCCCGTATTTAATTTATAAAAATACTATATTCTTTGTCATAATAATATCTAATTAATAATAAAAATAAATTAATTAAAATTTATTAAAAAAATAGGTATAAAAGCTGTTACACCTTCTTCTGCATTAACTCCGAGCGGAGAAAGGAATTTTACACCTACTGCAACGCCTTGTAATAGTCCCGATGCTAGTCCTCCAGAAAGTCGATCTGATTCACCAACTCCAGAAAGTGGACTTTCTTTAGGATTATTGTCTAGTGGAGCTGAATTATTGAAGAGAACATTTGGTGGCGAGACTGAGGTATATTGAAATATTTATAAATGAAAAAAAATTTATATTTTATTTCATTTTGGTTATATTTTAATTATATTTTAATTTGATTATAGTTATATTAAATATAATTGTATTATAAAATAACGAAAAAATTGATTATTTGCATTATAATGAATATTTTTTTTTTAAATATTATTATTTTATTTATATGTATGGGAATGTTTTTCGTATGTTCATTCTTTTAAAATTTATAATCTTATTCCTAAAAAATTATTGTTTAAAAATATTAATTATATAATATTTAATACAAATTATGTTAATTTATAAGTTTAATTTATTTTATTTTAATATCATTAATATTATATTTTGTTAACAGACAAAGAGGAAACGAACCGTATTGTCTAGATCAGACAAAAAGGCTCTTACTAGTATTCGTTTAGTTGAAAAACTTGAAAGAATCGGTATCGACACCATAATGTCATCTACGACGATTGGTTCTTCTATTTCTCCATTAGTGTTACAAGGTTCTTTATATACCAGACGTACTACCGAAAGTCCTATGGCTCAATTAACTTTCTTAAAAAGCTCCATGTCTTCAAGTGGAAGTCAAGAAAAACTTTCTCCTTCTTCCACGGCTAGTAATTCCTTGTCAACAAAACGAAAGATAATTGACAAGAAACAAGATGAATCTACGTCAAGCAGGGAATCAAATAGGCAAAGAAGAACTGGTGCTAGAGCTATGAGGCCCGATCTTGGACAGGTTACACCTGCGATTCCTGTTACCGTTACAAAAGAATCTCCTGCGCAATCCGCTTTGGGAACTATTAGCGCAATTCTTTTTGGACGAAAGGGTGGTTTACTTTGAATCATTGTTTGTTGTGCATTAAGTAAATGACATTAAGAAAAAATCAGATGAATTCTTAACAGAACATAAAAAAATTGTCGGAGCGGTGATAAAATGGACAATTTACTTCGTTTCATCTGCATTAAATTTGTTTTAAATAAAAAAAAAAAAAAAAAATTATAAATGAAATTTATATAAATCTTTATATTTTATACGTAAATATTTTCGGATATAACCAAGGTAAATAGAACATTTTAATTTTAATTTAAAAAAAAAAGAAAACAAAATAAAATACCGTATGTATTTATCGTAATGTTAATCGTACATAAAATTGTAAATAAATTGAATATGCTTTTATTTTATAGTAGTATTTTATAAAAAAGAAAATATTATATACGTTTGTATTATAGAGATGCAATATTTTGTATCAAACTTGAAAGTCTGATTATGATCGATTAATTTTTTATTCTTTTTTAAAAATTATAATATTACATGGAAATATTAATTAACAATATTTACTTATTTACAGTTTTGTAAAATATCAATATGCGAATGGCATAAAATGGCATATTATTTTAAAATGTTAATTTAACATTCCTACAATAGCTGATATCTTTTTTTTATTTCTTTTTTTTTCTTTTCTTTTCTTTTTCCAAGTTTTATTTTTAATACTAGATTTTTTTTCTGCATGGATGCAGAAAAATATTCAAAATATTATATTGTTTCAAATATAAATCTATAATTAAAAATTTCCTAAATCTTCACGTAAAAATATTATATAAAACTAGTTTATCTTTTAAAATTTCAGTATTATAAAGTATCTTCAATTGTACAAATATATTATTAAATGTACATTTATGTACATGTACATTATTATGTTTTTAAATGTACATTTTCTCAACGCTCCGACGTCTAAAAATTTACAAAGAAATTTACAACTTATGTATTTTACTTTTATGAAATAATCGTTTCACGTTGATTGGATTATTTTTTAAATAATTTTATGTAATAATTCTTATGCAAAAAAATATTGTATAGCGTTACATAGTCGGAAAACAAAACGAAATCTTATAAATAATTATTTTGAATGTTTATTGGTGAAGATCAATTTATAGGCTTGTGCGCGCGCGCGCGGAAAAGTAATTTAAAATCATTAATTTATACATAAATACCATTTAAAAACCAAATGTGAATTATAGAAAGATCTATTACGTGAATTAATTTTTATTGTATAGAAAATATATGGTGTAGTAATTAATATATAAAATGACTTAGAATTTGCAATCATGTGATACGAAATGATACATCGTTTATGTAATATGATTTTTATCATTTTGTCTATGCTTCAAGTAACAAAGAAAATTTTGTATGTAAGATTATTCTCTTTTTTTTATTTTTTTTTTTTTTTTAACCTAATTTCGTATTAATTAAAATATTTAAGAAAAATCATTATTTTGATGCTTAATATTTAAAAAAAAAAAATTGATTTGTATCAAATTTGTGTCTTTTACTTTATTAATATATATTCATTTATATTTTACGCTAAAATGTCCAAAAAGTGAGAAAGTTAACAAAAAAAAAGCAACATCAATAATGCACGTAAAAGCATATAAATGACTTCACATATAGAAAATCATGATAAAAATAATTAATTTCTTTATTGATATTCTAATGATATAGATTGCGATGAGGAATATGATTATTCTGAATATAAAAGAAGAAAAAAAAAAGAAAATCGCAGCGAATTTTATAAGTCGGAGCACAATTTTTAAAAACAGAATTTTTAGGGTGCTTTAAGTTATATCAATTTCTTTTGATTATATTAGAAATTTATTATGTTTTAGATTAATTAATTAATTGTGTTTACTATTGTTCGTCTTTTATAAAAGACTTAACATTTAGTATCGATAATTAAATAATTAGTCATTCCGTAATTGTCGATTAATTATTGATCAAAATAAAATATTCTACTTTTTTATCTATATTATTTATATACTAATAATAAATTGTAAATAATTAATAATGAATCGACGATTAATGACTGATTTACAGTTTCTCTCTGTATTGATTAAAAGCGATAAAAAAAAAAGTAATTTACTCTTTTAAAATTGAACTTGAATAATTACTTATGTATGTAATTGAACATTTTGTTTGTTAAAGATAAATTGACCAATAATTAATCGATCAATTATCTTTGTAAATAGTAATTTGAATTTTCCTTTTGTTTCGTCTCTTTTTTTTAATCTATTGCGGTTAAAAAAAATTGATTGCAATGTATTGAGTGAGTTTGATGGTGAGATTCGATTTTATTAGTAAATGGACCTTTATCTTGTATCATAGAAAGGAATATTTAGCAAATGCAGTCTTGTACATAGAGAAATACTGATTAATAAATTAAATTGAAAAAAAAAATCAAGATGTTTTGTAGTTTGTTTAAATTTTTTATTTATGTTAATATTATTGTTAAAAAATCATTTTTACATGAATTTCTTAAATATATAGTGCATAATTATTATTAAATTTCTATACTCTTTAAATCGTGTGTTTTTGTCTATTACTGGTATGACTTTTTTATTTACCTTAGTTTTATCTTAGTGATGTTTTTATCTTTCATTTTCATATATATAGTAAGATACAGGTCAATATAATATATTCTATGTATATATTACATGCATATGAAGAAAAATAAAGACGGAAGAACAAAGATAAGATAAAAATTAGAGAATTAGCGCCATCTCTAGAGCAAATAAAATACAAATATAAACAAGGAAAGCAAATAGTAAAGCAAGGAAGAGGGAAGGATAGAAATAAAAAAAAGGACAGAAAATAATGGAAAAAAGATAGAAATAGAATAAGAGTTGATTGTTAATGCTATATTGAGTAATTTTCGAAAAATAATTTTTTGAAGAGATGTCTTTGATTGTTCAAAAGATGGCGTTGGTGATCAATTATTGCCTTATCTCTATAATCCTTTTTTTAAAATTATTTTTTATCTTTTGTTTTTATGTTTAATTTACGGCATTCTGAAGATGGCGCTAATTTCAATATTTTTATTCTATCTCTATTCTCTGTCCTTTTTTTACTATTCTTCTTGTCTATATTTGTTTTGCTCGAGGCATTCAAGAGATGGCGCTGATTTTTCAATTTTTATTTTACCTTTTTCTTATTATTGTCTCTTTTTATACTTTTGACTTATGATTGACGGACAAGATATCGGATATTAATTGAATGTTTTTATTATTTTTCTGTCGAAATTAAAATGCTTTAATTTCGTTAATATAAATTTATTAAAATAAAAAATGGAAACAATACGACCTTGTGGTTGTAAGGGAATAAGATCTTGTCTTTTATGTGAAACGGAATATAAGATTGTAAAACCCAATCTAAAAGCTTGTTTTGAGGTTAGATTATCTAAATATAGAGTAAATTTTAATATTTTAGTTTTTTATTTAATACAAATTTTATGTTTTTTTATATAGAGATGTAATAAATTTTATTTAAACAAACAGTTTATTGCTATTTGGTATATTGTAATATTTTAAATTTTTCTTTTATGGTTTACTGATTATTGTAAATTATAATATTTCAGAAATGTTCTAGTTATGTATATTGTCCATATTGTGAAAAAGCATGGCCTGGTTGGAATCTTGATCTTTACAAGAATCATCCAAATCATCAAGGAACTGCTATAGAATTTCCTGGTGTTTATATAAAGGTATATTATTCATTACACCTCTTTTCTGTTCTTTTTAATTATTTAATTTCACTTATATTATTGTATAAATAATTTTACTTTTGAAGCTAATTTATAATTATCAGTATATCAAATATATAGTATATAAAATAAAAATGATCTTAATTAGAGAAAAGAAAAGAATCTTGTCATAAAAAAAATTTAATAAAAAATATTTTTTTCTTTACAAATACCATCAATAATAATTTCAATTTATTATAGAATAAATTTATTATTTATTTTAAATAATGCTTAAGAAGTAATTTTAATAATAAAATATTTTTTTATATTTATTTTTTTATGAAGCTAGACTTTCTAACTTCTTGGGAAATTAACTCATTGATCAATATACTTGAAGAAATACCTTGGGAAGCTTCTCAAAGT